TGACTGCAAACCAGTCCCCATGTCTTGTGCTTTTCCATCGTTTATCATTTGCATTGTATGGCCTAGGGAAGTTTGAGGCCAGTAAGGTCCCATTGGTGATTTTTCACCGTTCATGAAGTTCATGGTTTGGTCCAAAGAAGACTGCAGTGAACCACCTCCTATATTCTCTGGTTTTATACCATTGTTCATCTGCAGCATATAGTCTGGGGAAGGTTGAATCCAAGTTTGCTGGGTTCGATCTATAGGTATAGGCTGGAGCCAACTGGATTCCACATTTTGTCGTGCTCCACCAAATCCCAGATCTGCCACTGCAATTGTAACCCAGGCGATGAGTTCTGTCAATACCATTGTGGACATTCGCTAAATAGATGAAATATTTTCGATACTTGCAAAGTTGCAAGATGGTTTGACGTGATAAATAAGATTAGAAAGACAAAAATAGAGAGCATGTCTTTTGCATCAACTCGAAGAAATGCGGTATACAAGCGTTTTAGACGAAAAGGGATAGGAGACCACGTTACATACCAATTATCAGCAGCGCATGTTCATGTTCCGAAGCTGATCAAAGGTCGATTTCTACAGCGACTGAGTTGAAATCCGGATTAGCTACCCTCCAGCGGTAAATAGCAATTGAATAATTCACAAAATTGGGAATTATGTGGAAAGTATGTTCAAAATTGGCAGAGTTTCTTTATCAGCTTTCAATGTAATTCAGAAAGTTAGGCTTTCATAGATTCTGTAAAATTGTGGACTACAAATTAGACTGAGACCAACAAATTTTATCAAATTATTGATGTATTCTAAATTAACTGAAACCCGGCTTTTCCCGGTTCTGTCAATAATATTTTCGTAATTAACGTGCTCACTTACCCTAACGCCAAAACCCCGCAGCTGAAACTTTGCAAATCGATTCGATACCGATCAGTAACAATAAGTAGGCCTGCGAAACCCTCCCGGCCCCGAAGTTACTGTGCAAGTTTGGTCCGGACGTTCAGAAATAGCACTTTTACACACAGACATACAAAGAGACATTCAGCTTTATTTATACAGATTATAAGAGAAAAATTTCCTCTCGAGAATACAAAAAGAAACTAATCTATGATTTAAAAAATTCGTAGTGCATAAATAAAAAAGAGCAGCCTCAGAGAATCAAACTAAGGGACATGTCATACTTCGCCCAAAAAACCGCGCTTACGCGAGCAAAAGCCCAAAAGCAGCAAAGGCTCGCAAGTGATAAAAACGTATTTTCTTCATTTTCTTTCTTCTGCACTTGAATATAATGTCAGAAATCTACCAAATCTAAGCCGGATGAATAA